AAAGGCCCTATCTTCGGTAAGCTTCTCCCTGCTCGAATGGTTAAGACAAGTATTATCTTTTCCAAAAATTGTAGCTATTTGTACATGAATTATGAAGAAATCAATTATCTTACTCATTACTGTTCCTTTCGATTTTTACAGACATATTTTTTTAATATTAAATAAATTAAATAAATAAGGTTTAAATGATGCTTTTCACTGTATATAAATATTGGTTTTTGACACACTTTCCACTCAGTAAAAAAGTTTTTCGATTCTCTCCAAAATACAATGAAAAGTTCAGCCAATAATCACGAACTGAGAGTCTGTCAGTCTGTACGTGAAAATGACAAAAAAAAAAAAAAAGTAGACTTTGTCATTAACTTCAATAATAAAATCATCTATTTTTTACTTACATTTATGGTCCCAAGCTCTTTAATTCACTAGTTTTCTTTAATAAAACACCAACTGCCTTTACTGCGGCTATCAAAGCACATTTTCTGTCACTACGGGAAGCAGAATTTAGTCGCTAATTGTAGAACCAAACCGGAACGGACATACGGAATTCCGATTTTCAAAGACGAATTTCTCATAAACCTACGCGCGCGGGTGACGTTAAACATAGTTTTAATTTTAGACAGCCAAAAAAATAAACAAACAAAATTTTCAAACAATTGTGAATTTATTCAAATTAACCTATTCAGTACATTAAAAACATTATAATTAAGTAATATGAGCATTTAATTGATATGACACCTAAGATTAATTTTCCTAGCAAGTTTTTCCTTAGTGTGTAAATCAGTTTGAGTCCTATTCTTAGCAAAAAATGTAGTCTAAGACTGAATGTGCAGGAAAGTGGCTTTTAACTAGGCCTCAGTTGTCCTTTGGATTTATATTGCCACATGTCCATGGTACCCTGGAGGCAATTGCTTCTTCTTGTGGGAATAGTTGCTCAATATCTACAATTAAAATTATTGATGACAATATTTAAAACTGTTCATGTTGAAATATCCTCAAATGAATTATCATATTTTTTCTTAGTACTAGACCTAGTAGCATTAAGTTTTGAAAGTGTGAATACTAATATTTGGACCATACTGATAGCTGTTAGATTATCTTTAATACCTTGAATTCCAACAAAAGACAGGATTCTTTACGTCTTGGAATACCTCAAATCACTTTCCTTACTCTCCTTCACTTGAAAGGCCCTATAAGCTTCTCCCTGCTCGAATGGTTAAGACAAGTATTATCTTTTCCAAAAATTGTAGCTATTTGTACATGAATTATGAAGAAATCAATTATCTTACTCATTACTGTTCCTTTCGATTTTTACAGACATATTTTTTTAATATTAAATAAATTAAATAAATAAGGTTTAAATGATGCTTTTCACTGTATATAAATATTGGTTTTTGACACACTTTCCACTCAGTAAAAAAGTTTTTCGATTCTCTCCAAAATACAATGAAAAGTTCAGCCAATAATCACGAACTGAGAGTCTGTCAGTCTGTACGTGATTCGAAGACTGACAAAAAATCAAAAAACTAGACTTCGTCATTAACTTCAATAATAAAATCATCTATTTTTTACTTAGTACATTTATGGTCCCAAGCTCTTTAATTCACTAGTTTTCTTTAATAAAACACCAACTGCCTTTACTGCGGCTATCAAAGCACATTTTCTGTCACTACGGGAAGCAGAATTTAGTCGCTAATTGTAGAACCAAACCGGAACGGACATACGGAATTCCGAATTGTTTGTTTTTTTCAAAGACGAATTTCTCATAAACCTACGCGCGCGGGTGACGTTAAACATAGTTTTAATTTTAGACAGCCTAAAAACATAAGCATGAATATTAAAATTTAGAAAATACCTTTTAAGCGCTTAAAACTATATAGGGTATGGAATCTGATTTTCCAACCTGACATACGTAACGCTACAGAAAATTTCTAAAAATAATATGATTTCATGTACATTGTACATACATGTATTTGCTCTCATTTTCTGTAATATAGATGAACTTTCGTTACAGATATTACACAATGCTGTACATTATTTGCTTTTTTTAAATTGAGGAATTCCTGACAAAATTTCTTTTTGGTAAAGTAAAGTACGCTTTATAACATGCCTTCTTAAGATAATAATAAATTGGTGATTATACAATATATATGTAGACTATGATATCGTAAAAATACAGCTCCAGACACCCGCATATAACTGAGAGCTTCCTTGTAGATGTATATAGCGATACCGTGTTCACTTACATGTATCGGCGATTTTCTTTTCTCTTCCTCGTCTGTTTTGTATTTTTTTTTCTTTGTGATTTTCTAATTTTTCTCCTTTATTTCTATGATTGATCATATTAAAAGAGTACATTTTTAATGAAAAAAAAAACCGTTATAAAGTTAATTTGACTAAAGGTAATAATCTTAAGTCTTCGAATACTCGTGAATATGTTTTTTTCCTATACATAAATCTGAGCTCTGAGGATCCCAAGAACCAAACTGCCCCATCTCAGAAGTAAACAAGAAACATATTGACGTAAGCGTAAAAAAACCCAAAAAACTGTCACTTTTTATGAGTCTTTGATGCACGAACTACAATGCATGATCTGTTATCAATAAAATATATTAATATTTTCATATGTCCGGGTCCGTTACAGGAAACATTGCATGCGACATCAAGGATTTTTTTCAACAGCCCAATTTTCTTCATAAATAAATATAAGTAGTACAAGTATAAGTTTACAGAACATATTTGCATACTAGGGACTCTCTCTCTCTCTCCATGATAAACGTGTTGACTTTAATTTTTCGATCGTCAACTTCCCTTACCTATGCAGCAATATACCTTCATCACCTGCACACGGAGTTCATATATCTCAGTTAATTCGATACGCAAGGGCATGCTCTACGTATGAACAATTTCTAAAACGTGTAAATTGTTGACAAATAAGTTGATGAAAAATAATATCGGCAGTATCGTTTAAAGTCATCATGCATTTCGTAAGTTCTGTGAGTCAATACGATGACCTTGTCAACAAATGCAATTTATCATCGAGTCGAATGCTGACTGACGTTTTTCATACTAATTGCTATTCCATTAATTATACACTGAATTGAGTACGGATTTTTCCCAAGTATCTCCCGATCATGACAAGGAGCTTACAGCGTTTGTGACCAGTCGTCAGGGGATGTTCACTCTTCCATGGCACCTGATCCCACCTCCGATATTTCGGAGGTCCCTGTTTGCTCTGCTCTTATTTTGTACTGTTTTATGGACTTTTGATCATGAATGCTGTTCGTTATCTGCATGTTTCATCCTCCCCTGATTGAGCAAAAATCTAGATGTATTCTGTCTATTAAGAAATTATTTTGAAAGATTTTAAAAAAATCCAATTTGAAATATATAATATATATATAAATATAAACGTCATTAAATTTTAGATAATGCTTAAACATGAGTGATTAAACCGTATTTAATTGAAAATTTTAGCCAGGCGCAAATTTAGCGATACTTTAATTTTTAGCGAGTTTGTAGTTTTTTAGACGCTCTACATGTACCACTGAAGCACGCATGCGACTCGATGAGATGGGATCAATGAAATCCCAGATTTCGAGGATGAAAAAGTAGAACAATTTCGATATCTTAATGTCTTTTTAAAAAGCACAGGATCACGTCTGTTCAAGGCTTTTTCACAAGCTGTCCTACAAACAATATTAACAAACAGTTTTGATTTGGATTTTCATACCATGCAAACTGTTGTCCTTATATGAATGTTATAGAGCACATTCCACTCAAATGATTGCTTCGTCGTTTGTAATGCTGAATCAAATTTCTTGCAAAGCATTATGGAAAGTGTAGACAAATACACCAAATACCCCCAAGTTTGGAAAATCGATGCGTTTGGGTGAACAGTAAGAACATACGTTCATGTCCTCAATCTCAGTCCAGTATAATTTCTTAACATTCTGGTCATTCCCTCGCTGTTCAAGGAGCAAGACCAAACAAATTAAAGCTTGAATGTGATGTGGTTGTTTAAGGGACAAGGCGATGCCACAACTAAAGCCAATTCCTAGCATAATAACTTTGAAATCAAAACAATCCTTTTTGGTTCCAGTTTAGTTCTATACTCATTCGCGCAGTGGTTCGAGCGTCTGTCCTGGGGTCGGATTTGATACGAACATAGCAAGTTCGAATCCCATTTCCGACGCAGAGACCGGTTCTTCAGACGAGAGCAAATAAAATGAATTATGATGACGCAGTACTAAGGTACTGGCATGAATGAGATTCTTCGCTGATAAAAGGACGTATGTGCCCATTATAAGTCATAATTTGCAGACCGTCACTGGCAAGAACTAGCATCCCGATGTGGGTGAAAAATTCACAAATGGACATTAAAAACAGATAAATCATAAGCAGAGCTTACATGTACGTGGACCTCTAAAAATAGTGGTGGGATCAGATGACATAGAAAGCTAAGAATCCCCTGTCTACAGGTCACTCTTTGTTATGAACAGGTAAACAAAAATAATCTGATGGTAATTAATTGTGAAAATAATGCCCTAATGAAAATTATGGCCTAATGAAAGACATCATTTAAGTAAAGACGGATTGTATTTTCAATACAAGATCATACATGTATTGACGTGAAACAAGATTGTTGATTTTCAAGAATCACTATCTGGCCGATTTAACATGGTATCGACCATACTATGAAAAACTATGAAAAAACCCCATTAAGAATGCATTGAAAAGGTTTTAAAAAAATGCATGAAGTATTTGATAATGTATTCATCAAATATACTACAATGAAGTATACATGTACCGTAAATCTGTATTTTTTAACAGTAGTAGGATGAATATGAAAATTACAAGGAAATTCAAATTCCAGTGTAATGAACAAAATACAAAAAGCATACAAAAAGTATTTAAATTAATATTATTTAAGAAGTTGAAAAGATGTTCATTTTTAAGTTCTTTCAGGATAATTCTTAGAGGATAGTCCTTTTCTCTTTTAGATGCCTGTACCCCTAGCATATCTGGTTCATCGTCCATTAACCTTAAGGTTGGTGAACGTCATACTTTCAGTTGCAGTTATTCATCATGCAGTACAAATAGGACAATATCTTGGCGACTAAATTCCGTAACCCAGACAACCAATGTAAACGTGATTTATAGTACGAGCATTGGTTCCAGTAATGTAACACTATATGCTGGCAATGCTTCCTTCACATATACCCCGTCAAGACCATCATCTACCAGTCAAAACACAGTCACGGTGTACTGCTATGCAAGGACATCAAGTGATTCTGTCAGGGTGAACATACAATGTGAGTGAGTTGATTTAGCAAAAAAAAAATTCACCTCTTTAAAAATTATTAATATTTAGCATGTTTGATATTGTATTAACGCATAAGTTTGCCTAAAAGTTAACCATTAATGAATTGTATTTAGATGGACCAGAAGTTGCCAGATTAAACAAAACAGGAACCATAACCCTAACCGAGTATGACCCCACTCCTTACATTGCTTGTGAATCAACTTGCAATCCGGCATGCAATTTTACTTTTCTTAGAGGCGGATCAACACGTCATACCGGAGTCTTTTTTCGACGGTTCGTTCAACGAACTGACACCGGGACTTATACTTGCAAGGCTTCCAACAGAGTTGGTTCTATAACTTCCAGCACGAATTTTAATCTGAATGTGCAATGTGAGAAAATGTTTACTAAAATGAAGTTGTAAATATATGCATTTTAATAGACCGAAGCTGTAGTCTTTTACACGAATAAAACATTTTAATTGAAAGTAAAACATTATACAATTATTTAATGCCTGAGCAGTCAATAGACCAGAATATTTTTCCCGAGGTGCAGGGAACAGCTCAGTGTGTTCTATTGCCCGAGGCCAGCCGCCGAGGGCAATAGAACACACTGAGCTGTTCCCTTTACCGAGGGAAAAATTTTCTGGTCTATTGACTGCTCAAGCATTAAATAATTGTTTTATTATTACCTAATCAAGTAAATTTTGTTGTTTTATTATAGATTTAATATTTTCATTTATTCTGTACGTGTTTTCAGTTTTTCTTATCTTTTCAAACCGATCTACTGACTGGCGATCTATTGACCGGTCAATAGACTGCGATCTATTGCCAGGTCAATAGACTGCACGTTCTGTTGACCGGTAACATATTTCGGAAAAAACCGATCCGGGTTTCAAATTCAGTTGTTTTGTAACACTGCACAGACATGGTAAACAATCATCTTATTCGATCTTTCGACATTGGTTTTAAAAATTGTGTGATTTCAATGGTCGGACATCTTATTTAATGAGAGTTACTTTTAATTAATACAATGTGGGAAGTGGAGACCGGTCCTTTTGGTGAGACCTATCAACCGAGGTCCCGTGTCGCAGTAGGTGCACTGCTGGCACGAAAAAGGTCTCTCTCCACCGGCAAGTGGTGGCGTCTCCATATGAGTGAAAAATCTTCGAGAGGAATGTAAACAATAGTCTATACAGTCAATCTTTAATTAGTATTAAAGATGCGCCACATCTAGGTATAGATTTACAATATGGTACGGGAACCTTCTGTACTGAATATACAATTGTGAACACTTAATACGGAAAATAAGATTAGGTAATAAAACAATTATTTAATGCTTGAACAGTCAATAGACCAGAAAATTTTTCCCCCGGTCCAGGGAACAGCTCAGTGTGTTCTATTGCCCTCGGCCGCTGGCCTCGGGCAATAGAACACACTGAGCTGTTCCCTGCACCGAGGGAAAAATATTCTGGTCTACTGACTGCTCAGGCATTAAATAATTGTATATTGCCTAATTTTAATTTCTTAATTATATTATATTTATATCATTATTTAATTATAATTATATTTGTATTAAGTTTTCATAATTTTATATTCAGTACAGAAGGTTCCCGTACTAATACGGTACTATATTGGTAATTTATACCTAGATATGGTGCATCTGTAATATTAATTAAAGATTAATTGTATAGTCTATTGTTTACATTCCTCGGGAAAATTTTTCACTCATCTAGAGACGCCACCACTTGAAGGTAGAGAGGGGCCTTAATAATTTTTCGTGCCAGCAGTGCACCTACTGCGACAAGGGACCTCGATTTATAGGTCTCGCCCGAAGGACCGGTCTCCACGTCACACAGTGCATTAATTAAAGTAACTCTTATTAAATAAAATATCAGAGTCGACCAATGAAATCATACAATTTTTAAAATCAATGTCGAAAGATCGAATAAGATGATTGTTTACCATATCTGTGTAATGTAACAAACAACTAAATTCGAAACCCGGATCGTTTTTTCCGAAATACGTTGCCGTCAATAGAACGCGCAGTCTATTGACCAGTCAATAGATCGGTTTGAAAAGATAAGGAAAACTGAAGACATATACATAATAGGTGAAAATATTCAATCTCTAATAAAACAAAATTCATTTGATTAGGTAATAATCTTGAATACGTAATTTCTTTCCCCGATTTCTTTCTTTTTCCAGATCCTCCCAATTTTCAATTGTCACGTGTTCCGTCTTCCAGTCAAGTTGAGGAGAGAACTGTAGTCACCTTCACTTTTAAACCACGTGAGGAGGGTAACCCAACTTCATACACTTTTCTACAGTGTAATCACACCACCTTTTCCGGCGAGTTTCTCAGAAGTATCGACTACAAGAAGACCTTATCTCAGCTTACATTTTCACTTCAAAATGTATCAATAACAGATGGAGGGCGGTATATCTGTGCAGTGACCAATAATATTCCGTTTAGAAATGGAAACAAAATTGTGACAGCGTCTTCTGCTTTACAAATTAAAAGTAAGTGAAGGAACTAGATAAAGTCGTAAGTGCTCAGAGTTTATGTAGAGTTTTACAATACATCGTATATCAACGGTCAGTAACAAAAGCATTTTAATTGGACGTCGCATAGAAAAGCAAGACATTATTTGCAAATTAATGTGATTTAAACGAATAATTGAGATAATTTACTGGTGACAGACATTAGGTATTATTTTTAAAACGTATATCAACTTAAATTTCAATTCTTGATAAAATTTCAGAATCAAAATGATTTCAACAAAATATTAATATTGACAATGACAAAATAAAAATTGCGACAGTTTTGACACGATACAATATGACTATTTATGTAATATCTTTCCAAAATATAGCTCCACCTATAGTTCTGATGGATACTAAAAATGTGACGCTAAATGGTGACGGAAACTGGACGTTAAGCGTAGATTTCATCAGTCTTTCTTACACACCAGAGATTTTTTGGTACAAGATCGTAGACGACAGAACTGCAGATTATCTGGAAAATATAGATACGAAACAGAAAGGCCACACAATGAAAAAGGACAATGTCAGTTTTAGTATACCAAGCTATATGTGAGTAATCATACCATCCATCAATTTAATTCTGGTTGTCAATCTGGTTTATGAAATTTTAAAAATATAAATATTCTAAAAAAATAATTTAACGTCATGGACTTGCTTTGGTCAAAATTTAACCTGTATAATAAAATATTCATTGTTGATTTTAAAAAGAACGGGTTACATTTTGATTGGCTGACACATCCAAAAGAAGAAGCCACGTGATTTACATAAAAGGGTTGCCAGATATTACAAAACACAATGAGTGTCATTTGCGTCAATCACTAGGAAAAAGGAGTTTAGAAAGAAATATGATTGGTTTTGATATTGTGTTGTACATTATTTAACCCCTTTTGGTTAGTAGCGCCCTCTATATTCTGTTTAACATTTCAAAATGTCATTACCGAAACTGTCATTTTTTTAAAGTGTTTTATGCATTAGGGCCTGTTACAAATAACTCCTATAAAAATACACAGTGTTTTGAACAATTGTTTTCAAATGCTGATGAATTACCTGTTTAAAAATTAATTTTGCTCAAACCATGACTGTTTCTAAATAAATTTGGAATATATATATATATAAAAAAAAGTTATGGAAATCTTTTACCAGAACGCACTGTCACTACCGCAACGCATTGTCATTACCATAACGAGGAGAAAATAGGTCAATTAATTATCAATTAATCTAATAATAAATGTAATAAAGTGTTTAATCAACATGCATGAGTGCGTGAAATCTCACACCGTAGAAAAATGGAAGCAAAATAATCATATACACCCCTCAAGTGGTTTATTGACCATTGGTTTTTTTGCTTTTTTTTAAAACGTAAATTTAACACCACAGTACGAAAAATAATGTACGAATATCTAACTCAAATAATCATGAAGGTAAGATATTACTAAGATTTATTACTTCAAACTATGAAAAAAATGGTTTAATACTTTAACAATATTTTATAAAGTGTTGCGGTAATGACATTTTTTTTTCATGTATGTATGTGTAAGTCTCAAAATAAGCAATAAAATATTCTAAACATTGCTGCTGCATGTTGGAATGGTTTTCTCTATGTTTGATTAAGTAAATAACGCAGAAAAATTGAATAAAATAGGGTATAAATTCTGAGTTTTGGAAAAGGCTGTGCAAACATTTTTATAAAACACAATGACTTGCGTCAATCACAGGAGTCTGAAGTTTTTTTCGTCCAAGAAAAAAAAAATCCGGAAAAAAATTTCCCACCCTCAACTAAAAAAAAAAGTTGGAAATCTTTTTACCGGATTTTTTCTTTTAACGATAAAAACTTTGGAACAGGGTTGGAACAGTTGAAGCATTTTTGTAAACCGCTTCGCGATTTATAAAGTGTAGACTGCCTCAACCAAATTCTTAAGGCTGTGCCTTATAACCTGGAAAGATAATATATTCATTCCTTAAAGCTGAAGACAATTCGTAAAAAGAATGTGTGCGCCATTTTCGATCGGACTCTTACTATATCTGAGGACCTCTATATAAAGCGGCAGACTTAGTCACCGTTCAGTGTAATCAGTCAACACAGGTGTAGAAGGACATATGCTATACATCACTTAGTAGCGACTGTAATACTTTTTCAAATGCCGGAAAGTAAGATACCAAAGAAACTTACAATAGTTGCACAGGTCAGTGCAGTATACAAAGTTTACCAAAGATACACGTAACTGCAATAAAATGTTAACAATTTAATGCAAGATAACCAGCACGAATACGGGTTGTCATTCCATGCCGATGCCCGAGACAATAAAGCCTTCAAGTGTAACGAATGCGAAGAGTATGCCCTGGTATTGATATCGTAAATACTAACATCGAAAATGACAAACGAGGGTTAATCCAAAAGTTCATGGATTTATTTCTGAAATTGTATTGTGATTTGATGAAATCAAACATAGGAATTTTCATAATATAGATTCATTATGCAACAATACTGGAAAATTTCACCACGTTTCAAATACCAAATGGAGACTTCCATGTAACGTCAAGTTAGGTATATCACGTCACGTTATTAGAGCATCTCACCACCATGTCCAGTTCGACTAAACTTATTCTACAGAATGCTGGCTTTTTTCTCTCCAATTCTCCTTTCAAGAAAAGCCTGAGTATCCTTTCGCAATGAATTATCTTCACATTGCTCCCATATTTCAAAAATACTCCCCTTCTTACCATATGATGTTCCATTTACAGTAGCGATGTCAAGCATAGTACTGTAGATTCCTAATTATACGCGAGGAATTAATTATCACGCAATTTCGCGAGAAGCAACACTCGCGAAATAAAATTACTCGCTTTTATTTTTATGTTGCTGAAATCCATGTAAATTCTATTGATCAAGCGTCCATTCGCGAATTATTATTCTCGCGATTTGAAGTTAGAGAGCCGTCTCGCGATAATAAGTACTCGTAAAAAATAAGAAATCTACAGTAACTCAGCGGTCAACGTCCATTAACGCTTACTTTGTCATGCTTGTCTACGAGGAAAAACAGACCCTCCAAAAGGTGGTCACACCTTTAACCAACCTCCATGGAAGTTTTATTTTTCTTAAATGGCTCACGACACTGGAAAACCAGTTGCTTGATGCATTTTTCTGCAGCCTGCATCATTATACACAGTTAATTAGAGTGTTCCTGAGATTTTCACAAAACTTAAAGCTTGACCGAAATTTGACCTTACATGTATCTAACATTTTAAAAATGAACAATAAATCACCAATTAAAATCTAAATATCAAGTTAAATCAGTAAAACTCTTCAAACATAGGTCTATAAGAGGCCAAGCAATTGTAATAATGACATTAATTCATAGAAATGTAGATTTATATGCCAGTTGGTGCATTAAGAATGAAAATTGAAAATGATTATGAAGGAGTAAATGTCTCCCCCGCATTTTCAAACATCCGTTTCTATGGTAACTGCCATTAGGCTACTAATTATATATATCTAGAATATTTTTTAAATCAAAATAATTCAACAAGTGTCTTTATTATCATTTATAATTTTTAAATACTAGTACTTTGATTCTGAAAAAAAAGTTTGCATAGAAAGTTTATGAATTCAAGTTTTTCTCTCTGCAGGTGGTAATTAAGAAAAGGGAGTTTATTAAACAATGTCTTTTTTTTTGTAGAACAAGTGTCAAGACCAAGGATCCCGGTAAATACTTGACGTTTATAAAAAACTCAATGGGGAATGCAGTAGTTCAGTATCTCATCGCAGTTCAAGGTGAATAAATTTTTCATTTGAATTGTATTTACACCCAATAAATATCATATTCTTTATTTTAAATACAAATCACCATACTAAGTTGATCAGTACATGCACACCACTAAACATATCACCTTAATAATCAAAGTTGTTCAACCAATGTTCATTTCAATTATAATTTAATTTATAATTTAACCAAACTCATTCCTACTCTATACGATTATTTCTGCAGATTTAAATTTTAACTAGAGATACAGTAATCATTGAACTCACTAAATGATACCCCACCTCCCATATGATTATTATGGCAAAACCCATGTTTTGCTTTGTGAGACCTGAAATAAGTGTCAGATCAAAAAAGAGGTGCACAATGGCATTATAAAGAATCTAGGTGTGAAAGTATCATTTAATTTTATTCAGTAGTTTAGGAGGAGATGTGGATAAATGATGGGTGCTCTTCAATGAAACATATGGACAGAACGAACAGTATTCAAGATCAAAAGTCCATATAACAATACAAAATAGGAGCAGAGCAAACACGGACCTCCAAAACAGCAGAGGTGGGATCCAGTGCTAAGGAGGAGTGAGCATCACCTGTCGACCGGTCACACTCGCCGTTTGCTCCTTGTCATGATTGGGAAATAATGGAAAAATCCGTCAATTCAGTATAAATAATGGACTCACTAACAATTAGTATAAAAAACGTCAGTCAGCTCAATGATAAATTGTATTTGCTGACAAGGTCATTGTATCGCGAGACTGCTGATATTTTTGTTTCATCAACTTGTTTGTCAATAATTTTCCCCGTTTCAAAAATTGTTCATATGTAGAACAAGGTTCTCCATAGTTTTTTTAATTTTACGCGAAACACTAAAATTTTTCGGTATTTTCGCGATGAAATCGCAACTGAATCACTATTCATTATAATTACAAAAGTATGCATGCACACTCTTATTTAAAAATTGCTAATTCGTTACACAAAAGGTTTGGTCGTAAACATTGATAAAAGTAAAAAAGCTCTGAAAAGCAGAGGAAATTCTGACCGATACCATTAAATACAGTCGAACTACTTTCCATAGACCTAAATCATAACATTTTTGAAAGTAAATTTCCCGTGATTATTTATCACTTTTTGATCGAGTTACTGCATTACAAAATAAATTTCAGAACAGTTAAATACTTTTAAGAGTTCCTTGAATATGTTGAAAATTGTAATCAATTTATTTACATTAATTAAATGACTTCGGTACGATGTTATGTGTAACTTACAGTGCTAACATAATTCTAGAGCCGTTGCTTTATAGAAAAGACGTATCTAAATATATATATTTTTAAAATAATATACTTATAATATTTTTTGCAACTACCAATTAACCGTTACGTGGAAGTGTAAAAAACAAATTATTGGTGTTTGTTCCTTCATGCGTAAAGTCCGGCGGGGGTCTAGGAGATAATTGATTGTGCAAGGTGAAGCCCTTAGTAATTTAGTGCTCTAACTTTTAGAATTGAAAGACGGTAGAATTGTTGGATTAAAGTTCCTGTCATAGAGAATTTATATGTGTTTTTCTAATTATCACAGGTCTTATTGTGTCGGCAACATTTTTACTTTGTGACATTCATAAAATTTGAATCGTTACTGTGTCGGAAAAAAAAAATTACTGTGTCGGGAGCAACACAGTAAAACAGTTCATGGAGAACCCTGGTAGAGCATGCTCTTGCATAAGGTCATTGTATCGACTATAGAATGAATCTTATGGAGAGAACGAACAGTGTTGAAGACCAAAAGTCCATAAAACAACAAAACAGGAGCCCTTCAAAACATCAGGGGTGGGATCAGATGCAATGGAGGAGTGAGCATCCCCTGCCGACCCATCGGTCACACCCGCCGTGTGCTCCTTGTCATGCTCAGGAAAAAACAGACAAGAGGCCCACGGGCATTATAGGTCACCTGAATATCATGTAACAACTTTCAAACAATGGAATTTGGTTTGTGTTTTAAACCAGAGGCCATGAAATTCAGAATTTTGAAAGAGGCACTATTGCTTATCATAATTATACACTAAGCATGCTTACTCTAGTTACTTAATATCGGGCGGTAGATCAGAGTAACAAAGAAAAAAATACATTTCCACTTTGTAACCAGTTGTCCAAGACCCAACAGGAAGCACAAATATCAAAATTATGGAAATTTTATCATAAATTTTATTTCATCATGAATGATTAATCAATACCAAAAGAGCAAATTTTAATACATTGATCTATTTTCAGACTATGTAACACCCCCCCCCCATACCCCTGTCTCAGGGGGCATGAAATTAACCATTTTACTAGATGCACCTTTCTCCATCATAAATATGTATACTTAGATCACTGGCATAATACCCAGGAGCAAAGAAAAGTGTTTTCAAAGAATTAATGCATTTTCACTTTATAATCAATAGAGCCCTGCCCTAACACCAGACCCAGGGGTCATGAAATTGACATTTTTGGAAGAGGCATCCATCCTTATCATATCTATGTTCATAGTTCATTGGTTTAATACCCAGGAGCAATGAAGAAAATTTTCAAAGAATCAATGTATTTTCACTATATAATCAATAGAGCCCCTCCCTAACACCAGAACCCCTAACCCAAAGGCCATAAAATTCAAAATTTTTGAAGAAGTACTCTTGGTCATCATAACTATGTACTTAATTATTTTGTTTAATACCCTGGAGCAGAGGAGAAGACTTTCAAAGAATGAATGTATTTTCACTATATAATCAATAGAGCTCCACACTAACACCAGAACCCCTGACCCAGGGGCCATGAAATTCACAATTTTTGAAGAAGTACTCTTGTTCATCATAACTAAGTACTTCATTATTTTTATAATATCCTGGAGCAGAGGAGAAGATTTTCAAAGAATTAATGCATTTTCACTATATAATCAATAGAGCCCCGCCCTAACACCAGAACCCCTGACCCAGGGGCCATAAAATTCACAAATTTGGTAGAAACACTTTTGCTCATCATAACTGTGTACTTACTCAGTTTATTTAATACTCAGGAGCAGAGAAGATTTTCAAAGAAATAATGCATTTTCACTATATAATCAATAGAGCCCCACCCTAACACCAGAACCTCTGACCCTGGGGCCATAAAATTCACAATATTTGAAAAGGCACTCTTGGTCATCATAACTATGTACTTGGTTAGTTTGTTTAATACCCAGGAGCAGAGGAGAAGATTTTCAAAGAAAAAATGAACTTTTACAATATGATGTATATAGCCCCACCCTAACACCAGTACCCCTGACCCGCGGGTCATGAATTTCACAACTTTGGTAGAGGACTCAATGCTGATTACAATCATGCAAACAGTTTGACTGCTTGATGTTCAGGAGTAAAGAAGAAGATTTTTAAAGATTGCACTAATTTTAGTGGTTTTTGCCCCACCCCTCAGGCCCCAGGGGGGCAGGGACCATGAAATTCACAAATTTTGCTCCCCTTCACCCATAGATGCTGTATACTGAATTTGGTTGAAATTGGTTCTTTGATTCCAGAGAAGAAGCTAAAAAATGTTCAAAAGTTTACGAACGACGTACGACGAAAACAGATAGCAATAGGTCACCTGAGTTTACTCAGGTGAAAAATCTGTCGTCAATTCAGTGTATAAATAATAGACTAAAGATGAAAAACGTCAGTCAGCATTTGACTTAATGATAAATTGTATTTGCTGACAAGGTCATTGTATCGACCATAGAACTTACGAAATGTTGACTTTAAACAAGACTGCTGATATTCTTGTATCATCAACCTGTTTGTCAATAATTTACCTAATAAAAAGTACTTAAGTAAAATATCCAAGTATGAAACAAATGTGTCAGACACTGTAGTATCTTTTATCTCAAGCTCCCCAGGAAAACAACATATCGACATAGGAATGGAAATTACCATTGTTAATTGACAGTACGTTGTCGATATATCTAAATGTCGAGTTGAAAGCTAAAGCAAGTTCTTCTTCTTTTCATGCAAAAGATTTTGCAAAAATTCTGCTTCATATGAATACAAAAATAGGACTGCTAATAACGGAGTGCAATTGGTACCCATGGGGATTCCAATAGATTGTTGGAAAACCTGGTCTCCAAAAACCACATAGATATTATCAATCAGAAACTCAAGCATCTTTTTGATGTCGACTTCAGAGTTCTTGTGTAAGCAGTTACGAGGGGTGTTAGAAAAGTTCGCGGACAAGTTCTATTGTGAGCGCGCTATTTCCACGAAACCGGTCAAACTTTCCAGATAAAATCTTTACCATTTTTCCAACAAATATACAAGAATTTGATGCTCTCCGGTGATTATTGAAAAATATACAGCATTTTTATTTTGATAAAACTTGCTTCACGGAGCATGCTACATTTTGGCACGTTTACATCACAAAGACTCTTCATTAAAATTAAAAATTGCACAATTGTAGCGCAAAGAGATTGATGATATTTTACCTGCCGCTAAAATATGCAGGAAACGTCACTGGGAGAAATTTTGAACTAAATTGAATGGTATTTGACTGTTTTATAGCCGTTTATAAATGATCAACGCGTAAAAAGACAGCCAAAAATCGGAACGTCATTGAGCGTCATGGAGCACTGCACTACGTGAAAAATATGTGTGCAGACAGGAAAATTTTGCCCCGGGAATTTCTACACATACAAAGAACAAGTTTTCAAATGGTTATAGCTTCAAAAGAATGGAAGGAGTGACATTTTGAATGATTAACTCCATCGATACTTCAATACCCCCTTATGGCATGGACGTTGCGTTGCACCTATAATTTATGGTTTTGCATAGTTTCCATACCTGATCGATTAACTGCATAGACTTTTTTTCTTATTTTTAAGATCTTTTAGGAATCAGTACAAAAGACATTATAGTAGAAAAGTAACATGTCTTGATATAGATAATCAATTTTAAATAGAAAAAAGATAAGAAAAATTTTTTATAGATATAACGACAAAGCTTAACGGGTTGAAATCTGGTTGTCACGTCCTTACGAAATTATCCCATAAAAAAAATAAAAACATTTTAAAATTTCAAGATTTTATTATATATGATTTTTTACATACCAATAACCAAAATGTAGGAAATGACATGATACACAGTACACAATAGATTTTCCGTAATTCAATGTGTCCGCGAATTTTTCTAACAACCCTCGTAGAATGACTGTGTTTTCACAAAATGATTAATGACGAGGTAAGTACGAGTTCCATTTTTATTGAACTTAGGAAATAATGACTTTAAACGAGACTGCTGATATTCTTGTTTTATCAACTTGTTTGCCAATAAACCTCGTTTTAGAAATACAATTTATCATTGAGTTAAACGCTGACTGACGTTTTTCATACTAATAATGTTAGTTCATTATTTATACACTGAATTGAAGACGGATTTTTCCATTATTTCCTGATCATGACAAGGAGCACACGGCAGGTGTGTGTGGTCAGAGGGCTCACTCCTCCATGGCACCTGATCCCACATCTGATGTTTTGTCCATGTTGCTCTGCTCCTATTTTGTATTTTTTTTTTTGGACTTTTTTGATCTTGAATACTGTTAGTTATTTCCATATGTTTAATATAGCCTCATTTTTTATGTCAACATAGTTCTTTGTATCTTGAAATTATATAAAAAAAATAACATTTTAAAGTAGTTATGTTATGCCGTTTCATTCATGTAATGTTGAACCTACCAAATGCAATGTGTTTTGTTGAATGTAGTTGAACTAGGATTTCACATTGATAAATTAACGGAAAACAAGTTGTATAAGGATAAATATGAAATACAAAAACACAACATTTATGATGCTTTGTAACGGAGGAAATTTAATGAGTGTTTCCTTGTAGTACCTGAGGAACTCTCGAGTGATTCGGGAATTGCACTGATAGCTGTAGGATCTGTTTTCCTCGTTCTGAGTGCCCTTGCCATTGGGATGGCAGCGTTCTTATTCTACAAAACTAGAGAACAAAGTACGTAACAAACCTGTAATCTACAAAAAAATATATATATATATATATATATATATATATATATATATATATATATATATATATATATATATATATATAGTTCTATATATATATATATATATATATATATATATATATATATATATATATATATATATATATATATATATATATATATATATATATATATATATATATTCATTGCTATATTTATAATGAACAAAAAATGGAATTCTTTTCATGCAAGGTTATATATTCCTCCTTCTATTGATGTTCTTTCTCCAACATCAATCGAGAACGATTACAGGGAACCAGACAGGGAGGTGAGAGAACCAGCTAGGGAGGTGAGAGAACCGGCAGGGGCGGTGAACCCTGATGAAGTAGGAATACAAGTGCCACCGGAACAACCAGGGGGTAAGTTTTCTTTAATAGAAATTGTAAGTCAATCAAAAATAAAACTGCTGCTCCATCAACTTTAATAACACTGCTAGTTTCTCAGATGAAAAAGTCCATTTTAGCTCTACAGGACCTATTACACAAAATAAATAAAAGATATAAGTATACTTTCAACTTGTCCTGGTGAAATAGCAAATATTATACACATTATGCTACGAAAGTGCAGTGTGAAAATTCTCGTTTACTTTTATTGATTTGTATGAGAAAGAAAAACAGCTTCAAGAATTTGTTTAGAAAGGCCATATCGTAGAACAATGTAATTTAGATAGCTTGACTATATAGTTCCTAATACTAAAATTAAATAGTTTCAGGGTTAAAGGTCATAAAGCCACCAACAGAGTAAGTACATAATACAATAATTAAAATGCATGTTAACTGTTTTTATACCTTTTTTTTTTTAAAACAACACTTTTTTACTTGCACATTTGCAATGACTTTGTTCTTATTTCTTCACTAGAATTTAAACTTCAACAAGGAAATTAATGAATCAAAATTCAAAGATTTGAATAGATAACTACATTTTCTACACTCTTCCGAAGAATATAATAAATTTATACATATTGATTTAATCACTAATTTAGGCATCAGCACTTCAAATGTACTCTATTATGATTTTAGTAGGTATGATACTAAATATTATTTTCATATACACCTCTTATTTTTAATTTAAAAAATTAAGTTACTGTAAACCTTGGTTGCGTAGTAAAAGAAGACAACACAGGTTTCAAGTTCAGCAGGTTATATATTATAATATTTCCAACTCATCTCACACATGGTAAATAAGATATTCCTGATAATAAAGATAATCGGTATGGCCCTGTAAAATAATGTACAAAACCTCATCAATGTATATAACAATCAAGTGTTCATATTACAATACAAAACACTAGTCATAAAATAGTCTCTCACTGATTAATACGTATTTGAACGCATTTACTCAATATAGTTATATTTTAAACACTTATAAATTTAATTTATAAAGTGATCTCCACTGAACCTATTTAACTATGAAAGTTTAGTGATAAAATAAAACAATTATTTACACTTACATTTACAAATAATATTTAACAAACGACTTACCAAAATTATGCAATTTAGGCTCTCCAAATTATAGGAAATTTATCTAAGTGCTGTGCTGTTCTAAAAGAATTAAACATGCAAGTTTTGAACTACTGGAAATATAGAAATCTCGTCCTGAAACAATGCTCAAACTTCAAAGATAAAACCAAACAAAAAGTCAAACATACCATGACTGAAAATCCTAAGTCCACTAAAGTAAATTGAAATTACGGACACAACTTGCTGGAACCACAGCACTGGACAAGAGTGACCAACACCCCAAATAAATTCAAAACCTGTCTCTGGTCACTAGTCATATGATATGTCCACACCAATCGCTCAATAGAGTTTTGGCGGGAAAATAATTAATTCAACAAAATTGTAAAATAAATCAACACAAACACTTTTAATAACTTTGTAATTTTATATACTTGTAAAACTTTTATTTACCTACCTATATTTCGTAATTATAAGTGCATAAAAATTAAAAACACAATTTAAAGTTATATATACAAAATTCTGCTATGCTACATCCTCCCCCTGGCTATGAAATGATGTCCCATCATTTTACAATGGAATCAACCACTTTCTGTATCAAAGCCGGAGAAGTAGCTTTCAAAACATCCGAGCAGATTAAGTTTGTGATTAATTGTGACTTTTCCTTACCTGCATCATTAACCTCTCTCTGACTCATGACATATGACTCTTGCCATTTTGGTTTCTTCCTAACCCTAGCTGACCTACGTAAACCAGCTTCCTCATTACCTCCCTGGGCCACAACCTCAGGTTGTAGATTCGGTTCCTCCTGTTGCTCATGTGGAGTTCCCTCTGGTTCCTCTTCTTGAACTTCCTCTGGTTCCTCTTCTTCTTGAGCTTCCTCTGGTTCCTCTTCTTGAGTTTCCTCTGGTTGCTGAGTCTGCACTGAATCTGGCTGTGGTGCCACATTACGTCTGACTTCAACCATATAAACCTCATCTTCAGTCTCACTGTCACTACTTTGGTATTTTCTCTCCTCTCTCTTTGAATTGTCCACCTTCTTAATCTGTGAACTCTTCTCTGTTTTCCTTCTTACACTTTTGTCAGGCCTGACATCTGTAAGTTCTCTTCTTGTTCCTGTAGGAATTATCAAATTTCTGTGTACTGTCTTCTCTACACCATCTTCATCTGGAATTAGAAAAACTGGAATATCTGGGTTAGGTTGTGATTTAACAAAACAAACTTTCTTCTCAAACTTATCTGCAATTTTATGCTTTCTTTCATACGCTAAAATCCGTAATAAAACTTGATCTCCAATACTTAGCTTCTTTGCCTTTGCTTTCTTGTCAAAATGACTTTTCTGCTTTAATCTGGACTTTTCTGCTGCTTTCCTCACTATGTCAAAGGTCTTCTCCATTTTGTTCTTCAAATCTGTAATATAATCATTATAATTGGGTTTCTCTTCACTGCTATCTTCTAATCTAAACGCTAAGTCTACTGGTAGTTTTGGCTTCCCCCGAACATCAATTCAAATGGGGAATACCCAGTACTTTCATGCTTCGTACAGTTCTACGCATGCACTAAGGAGGGTATATACTTTTTCCAATCTTGTTTTTCTCTATTTTCCAATGCTCCTAGCATACTAAGGAGTGTCCTGTTGAATCTTTCGGTCATTCCATTTGACATTGGGTGGTATGGAGTGGTTCTTGATTTTTCTATCTTTGTAATCTCACATAATTCTTTGATCAGATGACTTTCAAATTGAGCTCCTTGATCACTATGCAATCTAGCTGGAATTCCATAATGTACTATAAAGTTGTTGTAGAATGCTTCTGCTGTTGTTTTTCCAGTTTGGTTTCTTGTTGGAATAGCCAAGGCATATCTGGTGTAGTGATCAGTAGTGACTAGGATGTTACAAATCCCTCCTTTGCATGGTTCCAATGTCAAGTAGTCTAAGCAAACTAATTCTAATGGATAAGATGATGTTATGCTGACCAACGGAGCTTTCTGACATGTTGACTTTCTCCTTAGACATCTGTCACAGTTCTTTATCCAGTTTTCTGTATCAAAACTCATCCCTACCCAATAAAATCTGATCTCCTAAATAGAATGTTGTTGTACTAGTTGGTTTACGTTGTTTTTTGAAGCTTTACAGTCCTGGATAGTACCCTGATTGTTAAAGTTGTGAAGTCCTGGGTATATATCTAGGTGGTAAACGTTTGCTTCTCACTGCTTCTATCCAAAATCTTAACAAAGTATCTTCATGTTGTAATTTCCTAAGTTTTCTAATTTCCATTTGGGCTAATGGTTCTCCTGGAAAGTCTGTTATTTCTATAATGTCCAATGGTTCCACAGACTCTGCCATGTTGACAAAATGTGTACTTACCTGAGTTTTCTTGCATACTGCCTGTACCGCTTCTGAGGTGATGTTCCTATTGGCTAGTGGGTATCTGGACAACGCATCTGCATCCATATTCGTCTTCCCTGGCTTGTATGTAATATCAAAATCAAATGCAGATAAAGCTGACACCCATCTCTGCCCTGTCGCATCCAGCTTGGCTGTGGTCAATATGTAAGTTAAGGGGTTGTTGTCAGTTTTTACCACAAATTTGTGTCCGTATAAATAATCATAGAATTTCTCAGTGACTGCCCATTTCAAACATAAAAATTCCAATTTCATTGCCGGGTAATTTTCTTCTGATTTTTCTAACGTTCTGCTGGCATAACTAATAACTCTTAACTTTCCTCCCTGTTCTTGACATAAAACTGCTCCTAAACCTTCTGTGCTGGCATCTATATGTAGTTCGAATTCTTTGTTGTAATCTGCATATGCTAGTATTGGGGCATGCGTCATATGATATTTCAGCTTATTGAATGCTATGTCATGTTCTGGCTTCCATCTCCAACCCTTTACTTCTACTTTGGTCCTTTTTTTCCTTTGGTTCTGTGGTGGCATTACTTCTTGTAACGGCTTGACGATTTTACTGAAATCTTTGATGAAACGTCTATAAAATCCTGCAATCCTACAAACTGACGCACTTCATCTGGATGTGTAGGCACTGGCCATTCTAAAACCTTCTTGACTTTTTCAGGATCTGTTGAAATTCCACTAGCTGATACTATGAATCCTACATATTTCACTTGTTCTTGGAAAAATTTGCATTTCTTTGGATTGAGTTTCAGGTTGCATTCCCTTAGTCTGTTGAAAATAATCTGGAGACGTTCTAGATGTTCCTTGTAAGAATTTGAAAAAATGATCAAATCGTCCAAATAAATAACACAAATTTTCATGTTCAAATCTCCTAGACATTCCTCCATGAGGCGTTGATAGGTTGCGGGACTGTTTGAAAGGCCGAAAGGTAAACGATTAAACTCAAAAAATCCAATGAGTCCTACTGTAAAAGCTGTCCTATGTTTGTGTGATTCCTCAATTTCAATTTGGTGGTATCCAGATTTCATATCTAAAACTGTAAAATCCGGAAAGTATGTCTAAAATGTCCTCAATCCTCGGTAATGC